GTTTGAAAGATTCTTTGCCAGGAGAAAGCATGATATATTTATTTATTGATAAAATATATGATAAATTATAAAGTTATTATTATTCTAATAAAATTAATGTATATTTTTAACTGCAAGAATTTTCAAACAAAATAAAATAAAATGTGAAAGAGTTACATATTTAGTAAATAAATTTGAATATAAGTTTCTTTTGGTATTTTATGAAATATTTTCAATATAATTTAAAGGTGTAACGCAGTATCTCCCTACATATCTTTGTATTTCTTAATAAAGAAATTGTTTAATGAAAGAATAAATATATTTAATGCTTTTTTTTTGGTGAACTATATATTTAATGTATTGGAACATAAAAAAAATTCTGTATTTTCTTTATTTAGCAACTAGGAAGGGACTGAGGAGATTTTAGAAGTGTTTAAATTTAAAAATAGTGAGATTTTTTTTTTTTCACCATACACTCTAAGTATAAAACAAAAGTGCTTTCATTACCTAATGGTTCAATTTAATTCTTGCTGTGGTTCACCAAGAACAATTTGTTTATGGAAAATTGAATTTGAATTTACCAGAATATAGTAGCAGTACTGGAACTGAAAACATGCCAAAATTTGTGGATGTTGTTTGTGGCTTATCTTTAAAAAAATTAGAACTGTGTGGTCAATGATTTGCAAATGTGCCTGGATATTGTTCTCGACGGTGGTTCTGTTGACATGAACAACTATATTGCTTAGTTTACTTTTGTTCCATGATCCTAGTCATCGTGACTAATGATGGGAGTCTTATGTGCATCCAGGGCTTGTGACAAAACTGACTGATGATCAAAAGTATGGAATGATTGAAGCAATTGCTCATCTCATCCATCGGGATTATCCAGCCATAGTAAAAGACTTTGTTAGACTTGGCTTCATTCCAGATGGAGTCAATTTGGAGCCTATCTTGCCAGTTCTTGCCAAGGTTTTTGATCAGGCCTTAGAAGGTGGAGGGGCAAAAAACATCAATTTTCAGGAGCTAGCTTCAGATTTAGCTCAAATTACCTTTGATTATCCTTTCAGGATACCCCCATACTTTGCCCTTATAATTAGAGCTATTGGTGTTCTGGAAGGGATAGCTTTAGTAGGAAACCCTGATTTTGCCATCGTTGATGAGGCCTATCCATACATTGCACAGGTATAATAATAGTCTGAGGAATTTTTGGTTATCTGTTTCATTCTTTAGATTGTTGGCATTTATTCTTTCCCACTGGGTACATGTTTGTGTTAATTTTCTTCGTAATTCACCACTGTGTATTTGCTTGGAAATTGAGTGTCAATAAGATTCTCCATTGGTTTGATTTCCATTATCGTAATCGTGAACTGCACTGAAGGGACAGTCAGGGAGATTTTATCGGGCTATCATGGTTAGATTGTATCATATAAGAAAAATAAATGAAACCAATGGCATGTGGATTGAATGAAAAAAAAAAAAATTATTGTTTAGCGCCTGGAAATAAAGGGCTAACATTGTTTAAATTTGAGGTGTTCCTAGTTTAGAGGCAGGCACATGAAACTTTTACAGAATGCCTGGGAAGAAACTTGTGTTCAGTTTTGTTGATTATGACAAACACTTCATCAAAATTTGCTACACTATAATTCTTAACTAGTTTTGAATTGTTTTCACTTGACACAAAAGATTGAATTTTGACAGTCCATGGAACCACTATGATTTTGCATGACCACACTGGTAACTGCCTTGTGTTATTTTGTGACATTCTTTTATTATTGTGAGTAATCTGAATTGATATTATACTCTCTTATAGAGGCTCCTCACAGATGAATCTCCTCGGTTAAGGAATGCTCTACGTTACACTATATATGGGAAATCCGGAGTTTTTGATGCTGAAAGATTTATTGATGTCATGCAAGCCTTTGAGAATTTTATTACCGCTGCCAAAAGTGGTGGTGGAGAGAATATGAAAGGAAATATGGCTGAGCTTGGGATTCTTACTACTAGCCAGTCAGAATATTTGTTGCCAGGATTCGAATCTGTTATGCCTCAACCACAGCAGCCAGTGCAAACGAGGGCAGCTTTAGCGTTTCTGTTATCTGATAGGGGGAATTTTTTCCGAGAATTTCTTTTGGATGAGGTACTTTTTAGAGGCATTGAAGAAACTTTTATTTTGTTATCGTTAGAATATATGGAAATATAAAATATATATATTTTATCATATCTTTTAAGAATAGTAAGCATATTTAAATGATTTCTTTCTTTAAATAGTTAGGGTTATGATTAGTATAAAGAACGGTTAGTGCTCTAGGTTTTATGGATGTATAAGTACATTGTCACATTTTAATAACAATTCTGTGTTTTTATTTCATTTTATTTCCTCGGATATCTAAAATCATATTTTTGTCAACTGATAGTTATCAATGTTTTAAATTCAACTTTATAGCTTGTTTACTTTGGATCTTTCTAAATGCATAGGAATTTTGTCATTTACTCTTTCTAGAAGGAAGACTGATTTTAACTTTTTGTCCTTCTAGTTTTATAGTTTGTTTTAGCATATCCTACAAGTTGTATAAAAGTAAGAATCTGTAGAAGTTATTTAATTCAGACTTTCAAATGTTTTTCTACTAACTATATGTGAGAAAGAGATGAACTTGTTGAAATAATCCATGACTCTCAATTCTCTCACTGTTTTATGCTCTTTTGTTGTGCATATTGTCTAACTCGGTAACTACACGGGTTCATTAATGAAGTTTTATTTACCTTTCATTCTTGAATTTCTTGGAATGTGTCGTTAAGGATTTCTTGTACTTGTATCTCTCCTTTGTTTCTTAATCAATTATTTTTCCATCAAAAACACAAAACGAAATATTTATACATAATGTGAAATGTGTTTCAGTAGTTATCGGGTCATATTACTGAGATTTCATAAATTGATGGAGAATAGTGTTATTACAATTCATACCATGTGTTTCGTATTATGTTTCAAATAATATCTTGTATCTGATTGATGAAGGTATTTGATACCTCAATTCATAAAATGTATTATAGAAAGCTTAATGTGCAAAATAAAAAAAGTATTGGTATAAATGCATGCTTAGTCGTAGTCCTTATAATCATATCAATTTAAAATTTTTCTTGACTTGTCTGGTGATAAATTTTACCCTAATAGCCGCTTAAGTTACAACAAGAAAAAGCTCTCCACTACAAGAAAGAAAAAAAATTAAAAATAAACGAAACACGAGAACTTGGGGGATTACTTTTGTTCTTGATTACTGATAGGTACTTTAACTCTCTTGGCAGCATGAGAACATGAGCATGATCAGCTACACCTTTCCATACCCAATTATTGTTGAGTTTAGAAAACTTCCAATGGTCTTGTAGTGTGGAACAAATGTTATCACAAGCATTGACATAATCGTTCAGATTTGATGCCTGCCACAAAGAATTAACTGCATTCATTATGATTTTCAATAGTTGGTACATCATGCACCTACATGAATATAATGAGTATTGTAAAAAAGAAAGACACTAGAATACTTGAAATATGTAAATATTTTCAAGATATTTAATTGGATTATGTAAATTTTATGCTTGCTTAGTTAATTGTGGCAGTTGTAAGTATAGTTTTATAGTATATACCATAGTATTACTGTAACAAATCATGACAAAGTAATGAGTGAGAGAAATTAGTTTGTTGAAGTTACTGAAATTTGAATGACAGCTATTTCGTCACTTTTGTGCTTTTGTGCATTTGTAGAGTTTATGGCTTCTAAATATTTGACTGACTTTATTGCTGGTGGAACGCAGATTGTTAAGGGCATTGATGCAGTAACAAGGGAACAACTGGTGAGAACAATGTCCTTAACAGGAATTCAGAATGCAACCCCTGTTTTCAGTATGGTACCTACTGTGGGACCCTTTAAGACTAAGGCTCTAATACCCACCATAACTGAAGAGGATGAAGTTATATTGAACAATGTCCAGATGGTGGTGGAGTTCTTGACTGCAGGAAGTTCCCTATCAAGAACATCTGATCAGGTAATGAAGAATTCACCGCTCAAAATCATGTATTTTGAGACATGCTAAAATCACCCTTTTGAACAAACTGAAATTTATGAAAATTTAAAAATTTGGTGGGTCTCATTTTATCTAATGAATCTTTCCAAATGTTATAATAATTATCAATCAATTTTAACTAATAAAAAAACTCAAAAAAGTGTTAGAAAGAGTGTACTGGTGAGGGTTCCTTTCACTTACCTTTTTTTGCAGCTGTTGTTTCAACAAATATAATATATGCATGTTATTTGTTTAAAGCTAAACATGTTCAGCATAGTTATTTATTAATTTAACTATTTGTTTGTGGGTGACCATAGGTACTGAATATTCCTCATATTATCCAAGAGCTTCTCCCAGTGTTACCGGGCATCTCTGCTAAAGTGCTTCCTGATGTTCTTAGCAGATTATCTTCTCGGGTTTTAGCACGAGTAATTCGTGATACATTTTTGTAAGAGAATTCTGTGTACCTTGGTTCCTTAGCCCTCACAATCGTGCATATTTTACAGAATGGTCAAAACCTCAGTCCAAATATATTATACAGAGTTGTCTATAATTTTTAACATTAATAATAATATATTTATTATTTTATTTATTTAATTATTATATTAAATAAATATGTATTTTTAAAATATTAGATATTAAATTATTCAGATAATAAATAATTTTGTCTATTTTTTTTTAATTTATGATTCAATTAATCCAATCCAATCTAATACCACGAAGGGTGGGTTGGATTGGACGAAATAAAAAATGTTTTTTTTTCATTCTCATAATTAAAATAAATTTTATTTTATTTTTATATTTATCGTGTCATAAGTGTTTATTTTTCTTTTTTAAATTTTAAACCGTTAAAGTATTTTTATTGTTGTTTCAAATATTTTTATCAATTAAAGATTCATTATTTCAAAAACACAGGTAATAATCTTCAATTGTTTTCTATCATTTTTTTACTAAATACAGTATCTCTAAACATAAGAAGAGCGTGGGTCCGGAACAAGATTTTTAGATTTGATTTTTCCTAAACATGTATTAGTAATAACAACCCTCTTACTACTATTAAAAGAAAAGGAAATGAAAAAAAATAATCAAAAACTGTTTAAATCACTTTTATTTTTAACACAAATATGATAAAGGAAAATGAAACATTTACTAATTTACTAATAAAATATACATGTTTCATAAATTTAATTCACAATAAATTAAAGTTAAAAATAAAATAATATATTTGATAAAAAATTATACACCAATTTGTATAAAAAACTAGAGATATATTTTATTTTAAGAAATCACATTAGTGTTATTTAATGAATAAATTATTAATATATTCTAAATATTTTTAATTGTATTTGGACGGAGAATTACACCATTTTCATATAATTAAATTTTAATTTACTTTTTTTTAATGACATAAATCAAGTTTATTAAATTTTAATTTTTATTTGAATAAAAAATTTTAATTTTTACTAAATAAAAGAATATAGTAATAATAAACTATATTCAATAAATATTAATCGATGATATTTTTTATGATTTTAATAATATAATAAAAAATGGTAATAATATGTGGTAGTGATTATTGTGAGTAAAATAAATACAAAAGTAATAATAATGAGAAGAACTATAATAAAAATGGAGGAAATATGTATTTGGGTTTGGGCCTACGAATCACATTTCGGGAATTTATTAAAAAAATATGAGAGTTAGTTGAAGAAGGGTAGAAGTAACGTCATTCTGCTTTTGACTCCGAAATTCAAGAGAAGATGCCGCAACTTTGACAACTTTTGCGCCTCAGTTCCTTCCTCTTCTCTTCATCTTTTTCTTCTTCTTCACTCGCCACCATTTGTTGCTCCTCTTCCGTCACCACTTTCACCGCAACCATCCCCTCACACTCTCATTCTTTTCCCTCAACGTCCCGCGTTTCTTTCGTCGACTCGCGCTATTTCACCGTTTCCTGCTATGAAGTCGACACCGCAAGCCGCGGTGACGAAACCATCGACCAAGAAATCAAGCCTTCTATTCCTATTCCCGTCCCGTCCGAGCCTTTTTCTTTTCGATTAAGTATTTATCATTTCTTCCAAATTTTTTGTTATACTTAGTTTATTAATTCACTTGGATTTTTTTTGTTTAATTTGAAATTGAAAATAAAGAACTGTAATAAAAGTGGAGAGATATGTATTTGGTTTTGGCCGGCAAACCACCTTCGTTCCATTTGAATTGCGGGAATTACTCTCACCGCAGCCATCCCCGTCACACTCTCATTCTTTTCCCTCAACGGCCCACGTTTCCTTCGTCGCCTCCTTCTTCGCTGTGTTTCGTCACGTCACTCCCCACTCTCGATTGGAACGATGTCGTTCCCTGCTCTGAAGTCCATACCGAAAGAAAGGCGCAGTGATGGAACCTTGGACCAAGACACCTAGCGTTATGTTCCCGTCAGAGCTTCTTCTTCTCTATTACTTATATATCATTTCCTTCATTTCATCTTCTTTCACTCTAATCATTTCTCCCAAATTCTTTGTTATGCTTCGTTTATTAGTTCACTTTGATTTTTTTTGTTTAATTTTAAAATGCGAACATGAGTAATGCGAACGACTGGTTAAAATGTTGGTCATGTTATTTTATAATTTTAAATTTGGGGGACCGATCATCAAATATGCTTCAATGTGACTGCAATTGGTTTAAAGTCTTGATTAATGTCTTACTATTAAAGACTATAATGACGTGTTCTACTATTCTCATTCATAAATGTGGTTTTGAACTTTGTAATATTCAGTAACTACAAATCACTTCATTCTGGGTTAATAATGTGACCCATCAAGCACGTAGCGACATTCATTTATCCTACTTAACAGTTCATTAATTTACCAAAGTAATTGGAGAAGACACTCTTTGTAGCCCATTTATCACAAAATAAATGATAGTTTTCTAATCACAAAAATATTAGAATAACATGCTTTTTGAGTGGTACACAACCAGTTTTGGAGAATAAACATGCATAGTTCATGAGAATAAACAATGAGCACTATTTTGGAGCACTAAAGGTACAATAAATAAATATGTATTTTTGAAATATTAGATTATTAAATTATTCAGATAATAAATAATTTAATCTATTTTAACTTTTTTTAATTTATGATTCAATTAATCGAATCCAATCTAATTCGACGAAGGGTGGGTTGGATTGGCCGAAATAAAAAATGCTTTTTTTATTATTATTTTCAAAAAAAAGTTCATCCTCATCATTAAAATAAATTTTATTTTATTTTTATATTTATCGTCTTATAAGTGTTTATTTTTTCTTTTTTAAATTCTAAACTGTTAAAGTATTCTTCTTGTTCTTTCAATTATTTTTATTAATTAAAGATTTATTATTTCAAAAAATTAGGTAATAATCGTAAAAAAATTTCTATTATTTTTTACTAAATACAATATTTCTAACACATAGAATGAGTGTGGGTCGGAACAAAATTTTTAGATTTGATTTTTTGATTTTTCATAAACACGTTATGGATTGATGGATGTGTATTCTAAAAAAAACATTTGAAATTAGTTTTTGAAAAGTTAAATATGTAAATCTTGTTATGATCCATGTGGAATATATTTTTGGATAATCAAATTTAAAAATTTTGTTCAAAATTCATTAGTCTAGAATATGTTTTTTAGAAAATCGAATTTGAAACTCCTATTTCGAATCCCCCACTTTATAACTGTGTTCGAGAAATAATACTGAAACTCTAAATTGATAATTTTTCAACTTTTAGATATAATGGAGGAAGATTTTTTAAATAATAATATGTGAGATGAAGTTAACATGTTAATAAGTTTGAATAATATTAATATAGTGAAACAAATTCTTGATAATTTAGTTGATTATATTGAAATATTTATAATGGATAAAGTGAAATTTTAGTTATATTAATGTTATCATATGTAATGATTTTATATTTATTATTATAGATATTTGCTACAAGATATAATTTGCTTAAACGGAGTTGAGAGGTTGTATTTAAGTTTGAAGTTGTGGTTGTTATACTAAGGTTAAATACAATAAATAGTCATCAAAAGAATAAACATATGGATTGTTAGGTTGTGAAAGAGGTCGTAAATATAGGAAATACAAAAAAGATTTGCATCCAACTTTTATAGAAAGTAGAAAATATGAGTGTCGCTTTAAACTATAGGAAAAACTGGTAAAGAATAGTAAATGATAGATTCTGAAGTTAGTTTATGTAAGTCAAATTACGACTTAGATGATACATTATTCATCTACAACATTCTCTTCTATATTATATTTGTATTAGTTAATAACACTTGATTCCCCACAAGCTTTACGCCTTATAAAGAGGCAATTGGACGAACACGATTCGTTGGTTAAGAACCACTTCTCCTAGTTCTAGGCTTTCTGAAAATTACACTATACAAAGAGGAGTTCATCAAAACATGTTCATATTTTTCAAAACTCATCTTCGAAATGACTATTTTAGAAATGTATTTTGGATTGATTGTTATAGAAATACATTCTAGATTGGTTGTTTTGGAACTCATTTTTGGAACACCAAATTAGGAATGCATTTTCAAGACACCTAATTTGGAAATGAGTTCTAGAACAACTGATCTAAAATACATTTTTAAATTGGGTGTTGCGAAAATGTATTTGTTTTAAAACTAACTTTCGGGTCCAAAAATGCGTTTGGATTTATCAATTTAGATTTCAATGTACATTTTTAGTCTAATTTTTATTTTTATTTGCAAAACAATCAATGAATAATGCACTTTTGGAACACCCAATCCGAAAATGAGATATGAAATAATTAATCTTAATGCACTTTCAAATTAGGTGTTCTGAAAATGTATATTAAATTAGTTATTATGGAACTCATTTTCAAGTGTAGAAATATGTTTTAAATTGAACAATTTGGATTCTTATCTACACTTTTAATTTAGTTTTCATGGATATTGTGATGAAAACTTTATAATAGGGACAAAACATTAACAATTTCTAATTTTATGATCTGAAAATAATCTTTAATAAAAGTACATGGGCAATTGTTTCTGGTGGAATTTCGATTGATTTCAACCCCCGAGATGTTTTGATACTAACCAAAAATTCTACCACGTAAGTTCTTTTTACTTAGGCTAGCAAATTAATTTTCAATCGAAATGCGTATGAGGATCGAACCTTACCTAGTATCGAAAATGCTACTTTTTTGGTGTTTTGTATTTAAGATGCAGAAAGCAATAAAACGTCAAATCGAAAAACAATACAGGATACTAAATTGCTGAAACCTGTAAAATGAAGAAACCTTAAAAATACGTTAAAGGTAAATGACAAGGAATCGAAAGAACAAAAACATAAAATTGCTGAATATAAGGTGTATCAAAATAAATTACCAAGGAAAGTAAAGAAAGCGGTAAAGGTACTCGATGAGCATGGAAATCCAGATTGCTAGAAGCTTCATGGTGTTCGTCATGTTCCAGTAGACTTCTCACTACTAGTTCTGTTCTCTGCCAATTTTCCGCTCCCCATTCCTTCCTCTTTTGCTCTATTTATAGGGCATCATTCAAACCTTCCAGGAGCAGTTAACAAAACTGCTACCACGTTTTTCGTGCGTGTTGCAGTTTATCTTCTATGGTTTCAATACTGTACCCATGTTCTCACGATCTTCAACTTCTACCATGATTTAGAAACTGCTTCCCGTATATGCGCTTGACTGTTCTTCTCTTCATAATTTGGCCAGGGTTTTGATATCCACGTAGGTTAGCCTTCCCCTCGATTTCGATTTTATCGAGAACTTTGAATTACTTTTGGTTCTTTTTAGCCTTAACATCATATACTTCTAATTTCTTGGTTTGTTCCACAATAAACTTTTAACTATTGTTCCTTTGATTCCTACTCTAATCTTTCGATTTTGTGTGCCACGCCCTTCTAATTGGACATCGAATGATTTCTCATTCACCTCTTCGCATTATCGATCGATCACATGTTTCTCGATTTTTATTTCTTTCATTTCTCGATCGCTTTTCTCGATTTCCTCCTAACAAAATGCCCCCTTGGAAGAATATAAATAGTTTCTGTTTATATTCTTTCAACACGATTCCCGCCTTAGTGTTTGGAGGCCCATAGAACTTAGGGTTTAGGGTTCCTGGGGTTCTAGGGTTTAAAGGGTTTTGGGTTTCTTTTTTGCTTTATGTCGCTGTCTCGTCAGTCTGCTGCCTTACAGTACAAGCCACATTAATTGCCTTTCGCTTCCGTCGTTTCCAGCTCCCTAGGTGATTTTCCCCTTAACCTCTCCATCGGTCTTTCTCTGGTCTTTACGCGAACCTTTACCCTTTGCAACTTCATCTTCTTCCTTGAGCTCTTGTCTTCATCCCTGCGCCTTCATCTCTTACCTTGCTTTTCTTTACTTCACCAATTACTGAAATGACAACTTCCTCCAAATCTTCTGACTTTTCCGCTCCACCTCTTCCCTCATTGGTATCTAACCTGCTGGAGATTAATAATCAGAAGTTCGCTCCAGTTCCTCTGATGGAGGAAACTTCTCAGAAAATTGCTGAAACGCAAGTACTTATTCCTTACACTGCTGATAGTGTTAATTATGCTTTTGGGGGTCCTCTTCGTTCTATTGATGGAACTTTTTCTCCCCTCAACCTCTCGAATAGTCCGGCTCTTGTACACCAACCTGAAGTTAGGGTTGATTTTTTGAATCTTGTCTCTAAGGTGTATCGGACGGGCCCTCCTTCCAAAACACCTTTGTACATTAGATGGTTCGATAGGGTTAAAGCTAAGTTCGGGGATCATTGGAGAAGCGTGGGAATTTTCGATTTTTTGCACCTGTCCCAATGTGACTTATCTCATTTAGACATGGCTATGTTTTTGGCTGC